CCTCTTTTGAATCCAGCTTGCACCTCTGGAAGTTCTCTGTCAATATACTGCTGCAACTGTTTTTGAATTATCTTCAGTAAGATCTTACTTGCGTGCAATATTAATGATATTGTTTGCTAATTTTCACATTCTATGGGATCACTTTTCTTTGGAATGGGTACAAATACGGACCTGTTCCAGTCAGTTGACCAAATCTCTTGGCATAACTGACTGAGTGCCTCCAGTGGGGCATCCATTTGTTGAAACATCTCAATGGGTGTTCTGTCAATTCCTGGAGGCTTGTTCTTTGCCAATTCCTTCATTGCAGCTTCAACTTCCTCCCTCAGTACCATTGGTTCTAGATCATATTCTACCTCCTGAAATGGATGAAAATCTACCAGTTCTTTTTGGTACAGTGACTCTGTGTATTCATTCCATCTTCTTTTGATGTTTCCTGCATCGTTCAATATTTTGCCCACAGTATCAATATTGCAACTCGAGGCTAAATTTTTTCCTCAGTTCTTTCAGCTTGAGAAATGCAGAGTGTGTTCTTCCCTTCTGGTTTTCTAACTCCAAGTCTTTGCACATTTCATTACAGTAGTTGGCTTTGTCTGCTTGAGCTGCTCTTTAAAATCTTCTGTTCAGCTCTTTTATCTTGTCATTTCTTCCACTTGCTTTAGCTACTCTCTATTCAAGGGCAAGTTTCAGAGTCTCTTCTGACATCCATTTTGGTCTTTTCTTCTTTTTTCATCTTTTTAATGACCTCTTGCTTTCTTCATGGATGATGTTCTTGATGTCATCCCATAATTCTTCTGGTTTTCAGTCACTAGTGTTCAGTGCATCAAATCTACTCTTTAGGTGGTCTCTAAATTCGGGAGGGATATATTCAAGATCATATTTTGGCTCTCTTGGACTTGTTTTAATTGTCTTTAACTTCAAGTCGAACTTGTATATGAGCAGTTGATGCTCTGTCCCACAATCAGCTCCTGGCCTGGTTTTGGCTGAAGATATTGAGCTTTTCCATTGTCTCGTGCCACGTATGTAGTCAGTCTGATTCCTGTGTGTTCCATTTGGTGAAGCCCA